ATCTGCATTCAAACTCCACAGTTCTTTCTTTGGATGTAGATAGCATTTTCCATCATGAGACTTTAGGAAACGTCTTAGATCCTTGCATTGCTGAGAAGAGTTAAGTCTATCAAAGTTAGTCATTGCACAATGTGGCTGTTACTGTAACACATTAAATATTGCTCCCAGCTTTATGTTTGCTGCAAATCTGATGCATGTAGTGTCTATGCCCATCTAAATAACTGGTAAAAGCTAGGTCCTGGATGAATCCCAGATTCCTGGGGCACTTCACTAAAGACCTCCACTTCCAATGCGACATTGACACAATGTGACTTTACTTTGGGGATCTTAGTCTTTCAGCCAGTTCCAAATCAACCCAAATGTATTATTCCCCAGCTAACCATTAGGGCAAAGAATTTACCGTGTGGTTAGACACTCTCTCAGACTTAGCACAAGGTTGCAACTAATACTTTGATTTATTCTCACTTCTTTAGGCATAACATAGTTTTCAACCCCCTGTATTTTCCCTTGGTCCATTCTAAGGGGCTGCTGGAAGTCTACTTGAAAGTCTGGCAGCTACTGGTAGATACCCTGTCTCCTGGCCGTGCCTTCTGCTCCTTTCCCCAGAGAGTTTTGAGTTTTCTGTAGTACACCTTGCAACTGAAGCCTTCCCTGAACCCCCCTTTGATGTGACTTTTCAAGGAGTGCAGCGTAGGGTACATGCGGCAGCACGCCACACATTTGTAGCCATTCTGCTGGGTAGGGTGCCACTTGGAAGCTGTCAGGATGTCCTGAGATGTGATGTAGTCCTTGGAGTCCAAGCCTGGTCTTGGTTTCTTGGTGGTTTCCCAGGGACAGGCATTCTCCAGGGAGGAGGAGGAAGAACAGATGCTCTCAGCCATATCCTCAGGCTGGCCAATGTCCCCCCTGCCCTCCCTGCCCTCATCCCGTTGTGCCTCTGGGAAGCTGTAGGTCTCCAATTGACTTTCCTTATCTGTGCACACAAAGTAGCTATAAGGGGAGAACCAGGGCCGGTAGATGGTACAATTCCGCCTCAGCTGTTCAGTGCTTGGCGTGTCCCCCAAGGCATAGTCTATTAAGGGAAGAAAAGAGCTGACTCTAAGCCTCTAGTGCTTGGGGAATCTCTCTGGGCTTGGTAAAGTTGGGGGCTGGGTCTCCCCAGGAGAGGAAGTAAGTTGGATGTCTGAGAAACATCGGTGGAGTTGGGAGAGCAATCTAGGGCAGTCAACCTTTTTTTTTTTTCTTTTTGGTAGGTTAAGTCTTACAGCATTTCAATCTGTGGGGCAAAATAGTCACAATCTTGGGCAAATGATCTTGAAAGTTTGGCGTGACCTGACCGAATCTGGTTGCTTCCTGAGATAGTCCTTCCCTGGAGATAGCCCTTCCCCTGAGACCAGACACAGAGAGACCACCCAGAAGGCAGCCTGGAACACGATCTCATGTTCAGCATTTACACTAGCAATGTTTACATTCATGACCAATTAATTTTTCCTCCCTCTCTGACCTTTTCCCTTTGCCCTGCTCCCTGAGATTCAAGGGGTGGTGGCTTAAAGAGGATTAGATAAAGAAATGCAAGTGGAAAACATGGCATGTGGTCACAAAGCTTCTCAACACCCATTACCTAAGGGAGCAGCCCCCTCACTCCAGTGTCACAGACATAAATGTATGTAGATACATGCATCTACATAGCTGTGTCTATGTGAACACACACACAGTTGGGGAAGACCTCACCTGCTGAGAACACTGTGTTATGTACCCCATGTCGGAGAGCACTGCGTTGGTACTGGGGTGGTGGGACCTGAGCAGGGCTGGGCACCTCACCAGGTACAGGAGTCTTTGAGATGTCTGAGTGACAGAAGGAAACACTCTGGTGAGCTAAAGAGAGAGTCACCCTTCTGGGACATCCAACGGGATTTGGGGGAGATTCTGCTGTGGCTCTTTGTTCTTGTCTTTGCCAAATGACCTCCCAGGACTGAGATGACACCATGAACATGCAGTGCAGTGAGGCAGGGCCATTCCAAATGACTTTCTAGGAGAGTTCTGAATAGGACCATTTCATTGAGATACAGGAAAGAGCAAGCTGGGTAAAGGAGACAACTTTGTTATTCTGCCTATTCTACCCTCTCCCTTTTGTATTTTGTCATGTGTGTGGCCCTCTCTACTGTGGGGTTTTAAGTTTTCCTGAGTATAGTGTTTATTGTGGAGAGTTACAACCACTGATTCCATAGTGTGTCATGGAGGACCCCTTCTATAGTGTTAAGGATAAACCTCTGACCCAAAGACCTCACACATAGTCAAAAAGATGACCAGAGATCAGGATCAAGGTATGTATCCTGGGGGTTCTACCTTGTTGACCCAGTGGAGTTGATTAAGCTTAAGTAGAAAGCTTATCTACATTTATTTCCCAGAGAAATAACAGTTTTTGATCTTGGATGACAATTTTGTAGACATTGTGTTTATATATATAAATTGGGTACATAAGAAGCCTCTCATTGGCTTGCCAAAACCTTATTCCTCTCTGTCCATATCAATGAGTTTTCTCACATTAGGATCCCAGTGGTGAACTCAAAGGCCAGATTTTTCTCTAATCTGTCTAAACAAATCCAGAGCATCCCATGATGATTAGAAAACACATGTATTGTCTTGGAAATCTATACAGGCTAAAGGGGTAAAAAATCCATGGAAAATTGACAGGGTATGTTTTGATCACCCCTGCTATAGAAGCAAAAACAACATTAACCACTTGGTAGTTGCCATGATGGCAAGTATCCTTACCCACCACCCATCTAGAAGAATAAATAATCTGACCCTTTTGAATTTGAGTTTCTGGTCCTGTACATCAGTCGGTGGGGCTAATAAGATACTCCAAAGGAAGATAAACTCATGATTCCCAGCTTCACCCATACTTTACCTGGTAAGCTGGTAGCTCGAGAGGATGTAGTATCAGGAAAAGTATTCATGGCAGAGGAGGAGATCCGTGGTCCTGAAATGCTAAGGAGAGAGAAGTTCTCCATATTCTGACTCTTGGTAAGTTATGGAGATGTCTTTCCCTTCCTCCTTAGATGCTAGTTGTGTTGTCCAGGCGATAAACATTCTGAGATCGTTTGACATCATAAGAAGGTCACATGATTCCACTTGCCAGCACAGCTGAACCAGTTGCTAGCCAAGGAAAGGCTTACATCCCCACTTTCCTTAGGCTAACTCTAAATTCTTATTATTTCACTTGATCCTACTGTTCCTAAGTAACTTTTACATGCATTGTGTCTGGCCTGGGTATCACCCAAGGAAGAATAAGAATCATGATAACATTGTCTCTATAGGACCTTGGTGCCCTCCTATCTTCTTCTTTCTCTGGTCACTTCAATGCCTTCTCACCCGGCTCTAAAAATCTGTTTTTCCTTATTAATTCCCTTGTTGCCTCCCTACCCTCAAAAAATAAAAATAAAATCAAGCACCCTGTTCCAAGCTATCTTTGTCACCATGGTCTTCCATTAGGATGTGTGACAGTGCACTAAGTTATATAGGATGGGAAGATATCATTTGGAAGAGTCATGGTCCCTACTGAGAAGGGACTGGCAAAGTTGTAAGTGTATGGGGCATGTGGAAAAGTGTGTGGACTTGCCTGTGGGGAGAGAAGAAAGGTGAGTAGGAGAGGAAGGGAGAATTAGTCTTTCTTTCTGTATTTCTTCAAAGTGCCTAACCAGTGAGGAGGTAGTGAGATAAATGTGATGTTAATACCATTCCTTCACTGAGATCATAGGAATGTGTAATATAATAAATGCCCCTGTTTGCCAGAAGCATCTG